AAAACCTTTTCTTACCTGGAAATCCTGGGAATCCCCTTTCTCCAGGGGGCCCAGGAATAGAAATACCAGGCCATCCAGGTTCACCTCTGTCTCCTTTTGGTCCAATTTCTCCTGAGTATCCTGGGGGCCCTGTCTCACTCTGACCTTTATAAGGAAACAATTATGTACATAAAGCTTACAGCAAGTACAAATACAGATGTGCAGAAATACCAGTTGCAGATGTTCCTCCTTGCAAGGGTTGCCTAGTGTTCTTTTTCTGGTTCTCTCTTGGAAGCTGGATAGAGTTTTGTTGAATCTGGCCCTAATTCATCACTTTCAAAGAAAGTAATCCTTTTGCTTGAATGCTCTTCTTCAGGGGCTATTTTATATGGTGTCATTATTGTCTGTAACTTGAAATCTAAATTGATTGCATGGTTCTAAATTTAATTTTCTATCAGCATATATTTGTACTCTTTAGATAGATTATAAGCATTGTTTTTTAACAGTGATTCAAAAGCACCTTTTGAAAGTTGTGAATACATCAGCATGAGTGAAATACACATTCCTCTTAAGTTTGAGGCACAACTCTCATGGACTTTAAATGGAGCTGGGATTTCACAAGTCTCCTTTTAATTTGTTAGTTTTATCTTTTGCATATTAAAAAAAAAAAAAGAGAGAGACTTGGCTCTCCTTTGAAGCATCTGCACTGAACTTTTTAATTTTATAAACAGCCTTGAAACATTCCAACAAAACTATGTGAGTAATGGAAGTTTGAAAGTTTTCCCCACAAAGAACTGCAGGTGTGCCATTAAGCATACTTTAGATTCTGTTTGAAAGTTTAGTCTAAGCCTTAATGATATCTTCTGGGCAAGGCAAACATCAAAATAACATGCACCTTTCCTTGCACATTCAGTCATGTAGAAGATTTTCTGTTCCAGTTATTTCTCATCTTTACCTGGAGCTCCTGCAGAACCCTTTTGACCTTTTAATCCATCCAAGCCATCCAGTCCAGGCAGTCCAGGAAGACCTGAGAGATGTTACACAGGTATGACTGACCAACAATCCTTTACAGTCACAATTAAAAATCAAGCCTATTTTTAATCTGACAACACATACTGGATCAAGATGGGCTATTTGCTGAATTTGATTGCTGGCAACTGCAGAGGAGGTCACATTGCAGTGCAGTCTTTTTGGAAAGGCAAATGTGAAAAGTTTAAAAATCGCAGTCATGATACAGTTTCACATCAAAGCAATCAGAAAGCAAAACTTTCAATCCTTTAGGTCCTTCCATCCTGCAGCTAGCAGCTTATGGGTAGAGAACCTTGTGTCTGTGCCTGGACTGCTACTGCTACATGTGGCTGCTACTCCAAAGTTCACTGTGCTACCCCTTCATGGCTCTGATGGGGATGCAGACACTACCTAAGATAGCTGTAAAGCTGGAACTTCTTTACAGCTTCTGTTCAAAATAGAAGTGCAGTTTAACCCAGCTGCAGCAAAAAGAGAATTTCCACCTGCCTTCTTTTCTCTTGTCCTGCAGACTTCACACAGAAAACTATGCTTTTTTGCATCCCTATTACAAAAGCTCTTTGAACTGAACAGCACAAAATCTTTGAAGACAACAAATTATAATTGAAACTTCTGGTGACACATGGTAGTATATAGAGCATCTCTGTCCCTAGTGAGGTTCACTACTAGCACTGGCTGAATGTTTGTGGTGGTCAGACATAACTTTTGCTTTATAACTTGTGCTTTTTTGAGAATTGCTAAAACACAATAAATAAAACAATAGATGCCACTTTTTAATCAATTTTTAAGAAAGTTGAACTAATCTAAGGTTGTGTTTGTTGTTTGCAGTCAAGGGTAAAAATTATTTTCTTGTCATCAGTGCTTTTTAGTTCCTAGGTTATATAGATAAACTATCAAATGTGAGAACAAATACCTCCTCACTGCAGACAGAAGTCTGTCACCTGGTGATAGCAACAGGTCTGGCAAAACTGATGGGTCATTTGTGACAGGTTTCAAAGAGGCTTCAGAGACAGGAGCAGACTTGGGATGCCTCTTGCTCCAGAGGGACAACAAACATCAAAGAGCTGAATGATACTGTCAGTGCCTGTTCCTGTCTCTGTTCCACTTCTGCTGCTCATCTCTGCCTCCCTTCCTTTCCCATCAATTCCTCTCCCAGCCCTGCAGGATTCCCAGTCCACTTGCAGTGGGTTTTTCCCACAAGTCTGAATTATCTGTGTGTGTGTCTCCTTTCCTCTGGCTCCTTCCTGGCACAGAAGATGTAGTTTCTCTGTTGGGTGCCTGTGCTTGATCCCAGCATGTCCTGCAGCTCACCAATCTGCCATGTATCCAGAGCAGGCATCTTGGGAAAATTTATTGCTCTATTTAAGCACATAAGAATGGATATATTTTTTTAAAGTTTATAAACTGCTTTATAAATTCAGCCAGGACAAATTGCTGTAGGAACAACAACAAAAATACCCTTCATCAACTGCTTCACCTGCCAAATTTAAGTGTCCGTAGTTCAAAGATGGGTCATCTGAGAATGAAAAAATAAAAAAGCCCTAGAATTCTCTAGCAGGCACACAAAAAATGATAATCATATAGCTTTGTTCCCAGAAACTGTTGAATTATTTTAGTTAAGATTTAACAGAAGATGAATTAAAAAAAAAAAAAAAAAAAAAGATAAAACAGTCTGGAAAAATTTTAAATCCAGAAATTTTTTTAAAACCTACAAAACATTGGTAATATACTCTCTGTGTAATGCACCTTATAATATGGGATACTAGTAATCCAACCTGTAATATCTTCTAGTACCTTAATTAACTGTTCTTTAACTTTTCATGACATTCTAACTTTCATTCCTGTATTCTGTAGCCTTCTTGTGCTTTGGACATGTTCCCATTTTAAAATTTATGTAAGAATTGCTTTTGGGGAATTTAACAGTGGTATTTTAAAATTATTAAGAACTCCTAACTAATTTTGACCCCCAGGTCACCATTTAAAACTTTTTTGATCTCTGGCTCATTCTGGTAAGATTAATGGCTTGGTTTTACTTGCTTTCCAGGGAATTTCTGACACATTTGCCAACAATCCATTATAATATCAGCACTTGTAATTCTGGATTTTTGGATTGCTATGGTCCCATATTTCTAGGTACAGCTGAATTGGCTGACCTGAGCATGAACCACTATTTCTGTGTTTTACAGCCCAATTCAGCTCCTACTCACACAAGTCCTCCTCGTGGTTGTCTGAGTTTTACTTGTTCCATCAAGGATTACTCAAACAAGTAAGGCTTGCCAGGCTAAGCCCTTAACTAGTAAAACAACTGTAATAAAGAAAATGGGGTTACCCTTTAATAGATTATCTTTAACTTACTTTTATTTTTAAATCTAGAAGTTTTTTAAAATCTAAAATTTCAGGCACAAGACTTTTAATGTAACTGAGAACCAATGAGACTAACGAGGCCATGTACTTAGCTATGAATTATCCATTTAGTTTCTAATATCCATTTAGTTTCATTCAAGTTCTAACCAGAACTTGATGAAAACAGCACCAAGATCTACACATCCAGTTGAATTGGAATACAAATATCAGTCAGTTTTCATTGCTGGGTATAGTTTCAAAGGTATTGACATTTTTTCCAGCTATGCTGGCAATACATAGAATCCTCAGCTTAGCAGGCAACTCAGTCTCTAATGAATTGTCATTTGGGACTGAACTTTTCCCTCTGCAGGACGTGTGTTAATGTCATGTCCCTGTGCAGGACTTGGGATAACTTCTGCACAAGATAATAAAGAAGTGTCTTATGGCAAGAAGGAAAGAGCCCATCACTTATGAAGAAGTTTGCTGCAGAAGAATGCTTTTTTTCTTTTTTGACCCCTTTCAGACATCCCTGCTGCTGCAGATCTCTGCCTGTGTTACAGCAAATATTGCTTGCAACACTGAAATGTTCTCTTGCATATTATGTACCAGCAGGGAATCTGTCATGACAGTTTAAATCAGCACTGCTTATTTACTGCAAGCAATCATAAATAGTTTCCATTTTTCATTTGAATTTTCAGTAATTTGTAAGAAACCTTCTCAATTTGTCCTTAAGCTGAGTTTGAAAAAATGGATCTATTGTTCTCTCTAACCATATTTTGTAGCCCCAAGTGTTACTTTACTGTGGTTTCTGTATATGAGTTACTAATCATCTTCCTGTTTGGGAACTGATTATGAGGCACACTATAACAGACACAGGATACAGGGCTGATAACTTTCTTTATGGGGTATTAATAACTTACAATTTTAATTCTAAGCATAGTAAAAATTAACCATGTTCTCCAACAAAAATAATTGTATAGATGAACTGATACTCAATCTAAACACAACAATCATTGCAAGAAGTGTAAATCAGAATTTGGAGGAAACACTTCTATGCTAAATACTCCAAAATCAGACAAGCAACAAGAAAACCAACTTAAGTTAACTCAAGTTATCACAATTTGTTAAAACAAATTTGAAAAACAAAGCTGTCATAGCAGCCTGCTGGGTTTACAGAGTAACAGTGGCACTCCATGGTGAAAATGTAGAACACAGTATAACTGAAGTGAAAGCGAAACTACTGAATTACTGCAAACACCTTTTTCTTTCCTAATGTTCTGCTATTGGTTACATCAGCTAAGCCAGACTCTGTTTCTACCTTCCTCCTTACTCATTTTAGATTGTAGCCCAATTTTCCAAAGTAGCATTTCTGTTACTTATCAAAGGTAATGGGAACTGGCCTAAGTCTTCTAGCAGTTTAAGAGACCACAGAGTCCAAATCACAGTCACAGTAAGGCCTTTTCCATTTTCACTACTGAAAGAGTATTTATGTACCAGTATCTGGTACTGTCACATTACCACTAGAATGGCACTGCATATTCTGTTTACCTTTTCTGCCTTGGGATCCAGGTAACCCTTGCAATCCTGGAGGTCCCAAAATTCCAGGTTTTCCCTTTTCTCCAGGTTCTCCTGGCAATCCTTGAGGACCTGTAGCTCCTGAGAGTGAAAGAAACCCCTGTGAATATGTAATTTTATTAAACTGTTGATTTTTTCCCCCATGCTATGCAGCACACAGCTGTGGTAACAGAAGTACCTAGAAGAGTTTGGGAATGTAGTAAGAATTGATGGGTTTTGCTCTCTGACACTGAGCAGATATCTGCTGCTATAAGTACAGATATAACTTTCAATGCCCCCTTTCATATGATTTCTGATTTCTTCAGCCTCCTCACAGAGACACCTCAAGTGCCCTCTCCTGTCCCATGTATCTTTTGAGCTATTCCATGGCACTATTTTTTAAATTTTGGCATTACCTGGTAATCCAGGTAGCCCTGGATATCCAGGGTCACCCTTGGATCCTGGTCTTCCAGGCTGTCCTTGGATACCTGGTAAACCCTTCTCCCCTGGAAATCCACAAAGTCCTTAAAGGGGAAAAAAAAAAAAAAAAGCATTTGCTACATAATGGTTCAAAATGCACAGGGAGCAGAGCTCCCTCTGCTAACAAAACTTAGAGTAAAGACAATTTTGAGTCTAATTTTGTCTTCAGTCAAAGAGACGTACCTGGCAATCCTGGATCTCCCAGAGACCCTTTCTGACCATGTGGACCAAGCACAGGAGTTGGGTCACCTCTCTTGCCTGTTGAGGTACAGTGAATTCCATTTTATACAAGCATCCTTTCCAGCCACAAAACCAAAGCTGGACACTTTTGTAAGATCAGGAAAGTCATTAATAGATATAAACAGTCATAGAAGGGGCTAAAATAACACAAAATGGGAATTACTTTGGCACATGCAAATTATGCCAGTTCACTTTGATTGCATTTTCTCTTATTTGAATTGACAAATTTTCCATATCCATATAATGGATTTGTACATTATTTTGATGAAATTTCTGAGTTCTGTGAAATTTGACAGGAATTTATCTTCTAAATTTGCAATACCTACTTTTAAAGGAACAAGCTGTTAAAGAATATACTGAAATACAACTTTTGCCTTCAGGTAAGTGAGATTAATTTCTAATTACATTCATGTTTTATGGGAAAACAGAAGGACAGGATAGAAGTGACAATAATTTTCTAGTGAATGTTCACCATCTTTCCCACATGTATCCTAACAATATGGCTTTTTTCACAGCATGTCTATATAAACTCATTACCTTTACATCCTTTGGAGCCAGTCAGTCCTGGATATCCAGGGCTTCCAGGTAAGCCAACATCACCCTAATTTTTTTTTAAAGACAAAATAAAAATGTTTGACATGGGTTATGTGTAGCAAAAATTATCTGTAGGAGCATTTGGTTCACTTAGCAAAACTATATCTTAAGCTCAACAGAAAAAAAAATCCTGTCTTTGTTACATATCTAACACTGGCCAACAACAAGAAATTGTAGTTTAGACTTTCTAATAATTTTTATTTTGTGCTTTTATAGCTTATTCTCATTCTTGGCTCAAACAGCTTCATTTCCCCACAGATGGCTTGAATAATTTTATTTAATAGGCACCATAAAATAGATATCCAATATTGTTGTATGTTACCCAAAATTTACTATAAACATTAACCAGAAATATTGTGATGTCACAATAAAAATGTAGATTTCCCTATTTTTCATTTTGAATAATGACCATTAATCAGCAAAGAAATTTAATTAAACAAACTAAGCAAAAGTATGTCCCTTTACCAAGAAAATAACTGTGCCTTTCCCTTCCTGTAATCTCATTGTCTACCTATCCAGCATACAAGAAGTGAAGAATTAATTATACATTGCATGAAATGTTTGTGTGGTTTTGTGTATTTGTTCTTGAGCAATGCTGCTTGCCTGAGTTCTGCTTGGGGCAAACATGACTTGCTTTGTCTTGTCTGCTGCTGTGGTCACTTCACACAGCAGGGTATGAAGAAGCAAATACACGTTAACTGCATAATTGTGCTGCTGCTATATTATGATCTCTGTGGTAAGTGGTTTGTCAATCTGTTCTTAAGAATAATGTTAAAATCTTAATTTTGTGCATCTGTTTTTTGCCCTCCTTTTTTAGCGTAGTGGAGCCTGGACTTCAACCACCTGGCAAAACACTACATCAGAACAGGCAGCCAGAAGAGGTCCTTTCCTAACTCCCACCACAGTTCCTGCTGAAATGTAACCAAGGCACAGAGGTGTTTCAGTAGGGAATTTACAGTTCCTACTACACCGGCTGGCTCTTCTCAGAGGGAACATCTAATGGGTGAGTACAATACAAGCGCCCTTTCTTTGAGGCAGGAGATAACTGCAAAGTCCAGGACACTTCACTACCACTCTGTTTACCTGGTCACCTGGCTCTCCTTGAAAACCTGTAATTCCTTGAAGGCCCTTTGGTCCAGGCAAACCCCGTGATCCTGGAAACCCCATCACTCCAGTGTCACCTTGGTCACCTGGTAGTCCTGGAACACCATTCTTTCCTGGAAATCCTCGTGTGCCTCTGAAACCAGTATTGCCTTTTTCACCTGAAGTTGATTGCAGAACAAGATAATGACCAATCAAATCAAGTCAGTGTTTGACACAGATTTTCAATATTGCAATGCTTTCACTCTTGGTGTATTGCCTTAGTGATAATCCAGAGAAATTATACAGCCAGTTTAAGAAACTGTAAACACGGTATGGTGGCTGGATGTTACTGCAGCCCTGAGTTCACACTGTGAAAACTACCAGTGATTTATGTCAGAGAAATGTGTGTGTATGCAGAGCTTTTATGAACTTACCTCTTTCACCTCTCAATCCATGCTCACCAGGAAACCCTGGGTCCCCCATTTGTCCTTTCTCCAGACGGAGGTTAACAAAGCCACTGTCTCCTGGAGGCCCCCTTTCACCTTGGAAGTAACATATGCAATGTAAATATATCCTCACGAGTGACGTGTCCTGAAAACCAGTTTGAAAGATACTAATAGAGAAAGCCTTCAAGTACTTATGTGACTCTGTTTTTTCAGCAGGCTCACTGCTGACAAAATTTGCAATCCTTCCCTTGCTTTTTTGTTTATTCAGTCATAACTGAATAACAGTTGATATTAAATCAGAAGAATTAGTAAAGGTTGTGAAATTATGAAAGACAGCAATTTTGAGCTGCCTGTGATTGTATCTTGCAGATGATTATTCTCTTTCCTATAAAAAATTAAACAGATTTTTATCACAGTAGTAACAAAACTAAACATAGCAACAATATAACTAGAGAGTGAAGTGGATTTTTACAAACCTTTTATTCCCATATCTCCGCATTCTCCACTAGGCCCAGGTAGACCCATTTTTCCTTCTTCACCTTTTACACCAAAGTTTCCCATTGGGCCTTGTATTCCTGGGAGTCCTGGGAATCCCTGGGGTCCTTGAATGCCTTTGCTTCCTGGTAATATGAAATGCTTTATTTACATGTTAAGTCTGCTTATACTGCTGCTGTCATATTCTAAGGAATAGTATAAAGCAAAAACAGGATGTTTAGAAGGACTTTTTAGGAAATCAGCAGAACTAGAAAACCATTAGTTGGAGCATGGTTTCATGCCACGGTCAAACTCCTCTTGAAACCCTGACTCCACTGAAGCAAATTGCCTCCTGCTACCTGCAGTCAGCCCCTGACACTTTAGGCTACCCTTATTCCTAAAGCAGTTATCCTCAACACGGCACCAGACCTTGCACATGGCTACTGGATTATGGGGGCCTCGTTCTTCTCCCTGTCCCTGCCCTCCAGCCCAGGAGGCTGGCCCCAAAGAATAGTTGGACTTGCCATTAAAGACTGAGGCAAAGAAGGCATCAAGTACCTCATCCTTTGTCACTATGTTTCCCCCACTCCCATCCAATAAAGGATGGAGATTCTTACTCCTCCTTTTGCTGCTAATGTATTTATAGAAGCATTTTTACTGTCTTTTACAGCAATAGTCAGATTGAGTTCTGGTTTCACTTTGGGCCTTTTGATTTTCTCCCCCCATAAACCCTAAGACAGCCTTGTCCTCCTGAGTTGCCTGTCCCTTCTTCCAAACTTCATACACTCTCTCTTTTTTCCTGAGTTCAGCTAAAGCTCTGTTCAGCCCAGCTGCTCATCTCCCTCACAGGCTTGTCTTTCAGTGCATGGGATGGCCTGTTCCCATGCCTTAAAAATTTCCTTCTTGAATAATGTTCAACCTTCCTGGACTCATTTGCCCCTCAGGACTGCCACCCAAGAAATTCTGTTAACCCTAAACATATTCCTCTTATTATAGCCTTTTACAACCTATTACAAATAGTCAGGAAATAATATATAGAAATATGTCAGTGTTGTAAAACAACTAAAGCACCAGGATGCACCAAGATGCATCAAACTGTATTCATCCCTATGTTTTTATCATATGAGAAAGAACAAGGGATGGTTCTATGGTTATTGAATCTACACTGTTGCAGTCTTATCCTTGAAGCTGGACAGGGAGGTGGGTGCAAAGTACTTCCTAACCTTAACAGCAGTAAAAAGGGCTCCCTCTACAAGGGAACTTAGAGGTGAGATGGTCTGCAGGATATTTAACATACCTGTCTCTCCTGGGAAGCCAATGGGTCCTTTATTGCCTGGAAGTCCTGGGGGACCGCGTGAGCCTGGAGGACCTGGTGGACCTCGTGAGCCCAGAGAGCCTTTGAGACCTTTGATTCCAGGTGGCCCAGCCAGGCCCCTGTCTCCCCTCTGACCTTTAAAGCCTGGTAAACCTGAGAAAGAGAGCTTTAATCTATGTACGTAAATGCAGGCAAAAGTTAAGCAATTGTATATAAAAAGTAGAAAGTGATAGATTTGGTATAAATTTGAAGATCATCAAACATGGCAAATAAAGTTGAAACCTCTTTTTTACCATGTTGGAGTTCTCACCCTACCTAGATTTTTCAATTGGAATATTTGTTTTCTTGTATTTCTTTAGTGACAGACAATAGGAGAGCAGTGCGAAAAATCCCTACTAATTTGCAAATACTTTTGATAGATGTGTCTCCTAGCTCTTCCTAAATAACATTTCCATTGAAGAATAAGGAAGATCAAAGCATCACAGTAGTGACAGGAGCTCAGTTAAGTTACTCAGGACAATAGATAAGAGACAACTCTTTGTTATAGTGAACTCACTGTGATTTGGCCAGTTAAGAAACAGCATGGGAAAGGAAGCTGGGATACACCTGAGATGCACAGTCTAAATTCATTGAGTTTACAGAAATGTGCAAAATATAGTGTACACCCCCAGTAATGAGCAGTCCCCATGGCAACATTTGTCATGCCAGCTACAAAAATCATGTGATGAAATCTGGCAGAAAATATATGCAAAGCTTAGAGCTGTGAGGCAACCTGCTGGCTGTTGTGTACCTTGAGGTCCTGGCAGGCCCATGACACCTCTGAGTCCAGGTGGTCCTGGTAAGCCTGGGACACATGGTGAGCCAGGGGAGCCTGGACAGCCTGGTGCTCCTACATCACCTTCTGGGCCTCTAAAACCTTTGGCACCTGGAAATCCTGGGGTACCAGGTTGTCCTGGAAAAAAAAAAACTTGTTAGTTCCATTACTCACTGTCCCTCAAAATTCCTAGTTTTAATTTTGAAATGTACATGTTCAGTTACTATAGTATCTTATTCATCCTCTAGTTTTTGAATAGTTTGTGAAAAGTAATGCTTTTCTGCAATTTAGAATTGGCTGTTGTGGAGAACTTCTTTCTTTAAGGAACAAATACAAATTCAACCCTCATCTATAGGTACAGAAGAGTTTCTGATGTGTAGGAGCAGAATGGAGTAGCTCACTGGCCTGCACCAGGTGCCCAGCACTGGCTCAGTTCTGTAGGTGTTCTCTGCACTGAAGGATGGGTGCATCTGCTTAGGGCCAGGCAAAAGGAACACCTGTAAAAGGAAACAGCAATATCCTCTATGGCATGGGAAGGATGTGGTGCTGTGGGGACGTCGCTGCAGCAAACAGCAAAATGTAAATGTAAAAACAGGGAATACTCTTAGCAGCCAGCATTATGGATCTGAGTGAGAGGAAGGTTTCTCTGAACCAGGAACACCTTTGCTCAGATTTTGTCCTTTGAACATGTAGAAGTGTTTCACAGAAACTGGCCCATACCTTGAAGTCCAGGAATGCCTGGATTACCCCTTGCTCCCTGTGCACCAGTGGGTCCTGGCAGTCCCCTGTTGCCTGGGATTCCTGGAGGGCCATATGTGGTGTCACCTGGAAGACCCTTCTGACCATCTCTGCCAGGTGGGCCTGGAAGGCCATTTTTGCCATCAATTGTAGATCCTCTTTCACCTTCATCACCAGGATCACCAGCTGTGCCTCGAAAGCCTGTTGATATGATTTTTAAATTCAAATAAAGCTTAATTCAGGAGGAGTTCAGGGCTTTTTGTTTAGTTCTGCACCCCCCCCTCCCCAAACTGTGGAATATTTTAGTCCAAATTTAGCCAGATTTAAATTTCCACCTTACAAAGAAAAATAGCATCATAAATTAAATTTCATGTTTTTTATTTATAGCTAATGATACATGAGGATTGGAGGAGGCAATTCCTATGGGAAGTGAGTGACAGGGGTTTTCTTTGGGGCAACATCTGTCTTGAGTACTGTCACTACTGTCCAGTTCAGTGCTCTCTGGACACTGAACTATTCATTTCAATTAAATTCTACTGTACCCTACCCTACCTTTCTCTGCATTACCACTTGACCAGCAGCTCTCAAAATCTCCCAAATTAGGGAAAGCACAATTCACCTTCTGGCCCAGGGATTCCTGCTCCTGGCTTTCCTCGATGGCCTTTTGGCCCATCAAAGCCATTTGGTCCAGGATGCCCAGGGAGTCCTTTTAAACCCTTTTGTCCTGGAAATAAAAAGGAAATACATAAAAAGGCTGTCAGAGCACTAAAATGTGTGATCTAAGGATTTTATCTTTATTTCACACAAATTCACATACCTAGAATACAAGCTCATCTCATCTGCTTCTAACACTTTGGGCAAGAGCCACTGCCCAAGTCATAAACAAATGCATGGGTGCTGTTTTTCTAAATGAACATGTTCCCTATTCCATTAATAGCAGACTGCAAATCACCAGTGTCAATTAGGAAAAAGTATTTCCTACAACATTTTAATGTTACAGGCCATGAACAGTATTAACCTAGTGAATGACAGGTGTCAGCTCAAGTTCTTATACTTTCCTCTGCTATATCCATCTTCTGTAATGGTGCAGATGAGCTCAGTACATTCATGTCTGTATAAATTTTTGCTCCCATTCACAACACTGATGTTAGGGAGCTGTGTTACACCACTTGAAAATCCACTCCATTTCTGCTTAATTTGTTTGGATATTTCAAATGTCTTGGAGGCCATCACATCAGTTCCTGGGTGAGTTCTTTGAATTTAAATTGAATAAGTTGAAGTAATGGTGATAAGTATTGAGATTTTAGGGCTCAATTTCAAATTGCCACAAGCAATGCAGTTTTAGAAATTACAGACTTGCAGCATATCTTTGCCTTGCACATCTCTTTCTCCTGGTATCGAGATGTGCAGACTCTAGGCCTTACCCAACTCCAGCCATATTTTACAGACTCTCTCGTGCATTTTCATTGAGGCAGGACAGAGTTTGAAGCTACCTTGATTTAATTATGTCCATGGAGGCTGCCTGCACACCTTCTGATGGTGCAAACTGCAGCTGTCTGGCCCTTGATTCTATTAGAGAGTACATTCCTGTTTATTTGCAGTTTTACATTTTGAAACATGCATTTTGTTGAAAAACTAGAATAGTGTAGCTTTTTAGGATAGCCTCTTTTCTTTAATTAGCAACTAAAAACTCCATTTCAATATAAATCAAAAATTCATCTATGCATAAACATACCTTGAGCACCTTTAAAACCCGGGGGACCTGGATATCCAGGATATGGTGATGTAATGCAGACAGTTTCACCTGCAGCAAGAGGGAGAAGAAACTGGCCTATTTGACTTTAGATTAACTGGAGTCTGAACATTTACTCTAACATTTCTGGGGAACTACCCAACCACACGTGCAATCAGCAGTGACTGTTTATGTACATTGTTATTTCCATATTACTGAAGTTTTGATGGGGAATCTTAAAATATAGTTTTCTTGATATTTCCTATGGAACATTGGTGATATTTCAAATTGCTGTAATACAGTTATATATATTTTTAAAGACAAAGATTTTTGTCGTGGCAATTTGTTTTACAGTAGTCTCTATTGCAAGAAAGAAATAATATTTTCTTTTTAATTCTATCTACAGCTATCAGTATAGATATTTTTGCTAAGCATTTTTATAGCCAAAAAACCAGGCCAAGCTTTAAGTATAAATTGTGCTTTCCTAAACATTATTTTCACTCTAAATGAATAGCACTATATGTATGCATATAGATATACATATAGAATAAGAGGTTAATATAATAGATAATACATATTAAACCATGATGGGCGCTACCAAACATCCAAATGTGTATTTTGTTATTTCATTCTTAACATAAACATTCAAAATTACCTTTCTGGCCTTTTGGACCAGGTGGCCCAACATTACCCATATCGCCAAAGTCTCCAGGGCTACCTCTGGCTCCTGGAGACCCAGGAAGCCCCAGACCAGGCAATCCCATCTGGCCTTTTACCCCAGGAGGTCCCGGGAGCCCAGGGAATCCTTTGTCACCCAGAATGGCTACTCCAGAATCGCCCTAAAATAAAAACCTTGGTAAGAAGTAACAAGAGCTAATTTCTCTCCTCTCTTTGATGATGAAAGAGCATGTTAAAGAATTATCTGGAGAAATACTTTCACAATGGAAAGACTACATGGATGATATTAGTATTTTTAAATATTCAAAGGCAATAGGAACAAAGAGGTTTGTGTATTTTTTGTTTCCTGACCCTATAATATTGGCACACAGTATATGCAGAGATTATAGTCAGTAGTACCAAAATAAAGAGTAATACTTACAAGAAAATAATTTTTTAATGGATAAAAACTTTCATAACCTTTCATAAGATAATATATTAATTGAAATGGAAAAGGTCTGGGGAAGTCAAACATACCTCAGCTCCTTTTTCCCCTGGCAATCCTAGTTCCCCATCTCTGCCATCAAGACCTCTTTGGCCTGGAAATCCTGGAAGCCCAGTAGCTCCTCTTTCACCTTTTAATCCTTAAAATATTTTTTTGGGAAAAAAAATATTTGCAGCAATTTTAGGGGAAGGAGGTATTTCTGCTTTAAGAAATGCTGGGTAACCATTGATCCTATCTTCATGATAATTCCCAGTCCTTGAATTCACATTTCTTAACAAGGCTTTAGGCTTAGAAAGGCAGTTTGTAGTTGGATACCTGATGGAACAATTTGGTCTCTCTGTAAAAGACATGTTCACAGCCACCATAAGGACGTGGCTTCTGTCCATGCTATACATAGAGTTAAAATATTTGACTACTGAAACACGTCAGAGATTTATTCTTGATTTCAGTGAAGTCAGGATACAGCAGTGCCATATGATGCAGAGTATTTGCAGCAACATTCCCCAGAGGTTTTTGGTTTTTTTCCCTATGTGGATTTCTCTTACACCAATATTTATGAGAAAGTAACTTTTGCATCAAGGACAGTGAAACTATTCTAACACAAAGATTCATTCTGCTGTGTCAAGAAATCCTTTGCAAATAAAAGCAAATGTTTTCCTCTGTTCCAACATCTGTAAAAAACCCACAGGCATCCAAAGCTAAGCTAACTTTTTATAAACAATAAGAAGGACAATCTTCTGTGAATAACTATTTTAGCCTTTCTAACTAAGTTTTGCCATCAGATTGCTGTAATTTATTGTTCTCTTTTGCTTTTGCAAATCATAACCATAACTGTGGAGAGGTTTTGATCTATTTAATTACAAGAATTCCAGTTGTGCAACTGGTGGCCTATTGTTTTTCTTCAATGCCTGGTCAAGAGTAATTTTTAGAAATAGGAAAGGAATCTGAATAGTCATTGAGACTGAGGTTTTCCCAAGAAGGATGTTGGTGGCCTAAATTGAGATAACAGCTATGGTATTGGTATATGACAGTTCAGGAGGTGGCTTCTGTTCAATAATATTTCTTCATGATTTCACAGTATTTGTATTCTGCTTAGTCTTTGCTGTACAGACCTTTAGAAGACCCCAATTATCAAATGCATGACATGAAAAGTAATTTTTTTGCATTAATAACATGCTGTTAAAATTGTTTTATGGCTCAACTATAGAGAAAAAAACCACAAAACACTGTGTTGATCTTGTGTTTAGCAAGAAGAGAGGGTACCAAGAGAGCAGTTTGGATATATATGCCCTCTAGCTTTCAGTAACTTACTGAGCTAATGGATTTAGTAAAGAGTAAATTAATGTTTTTTCTCACACAATTGCCTAGACATTGTACAGGAAAACAAAAAGGTTAATGGTAAAATATGTGTTTACCTTTTATTCTAACTCTTCCAGGATCACCCTTCTCTCCTTTTTCCCCAAGCTGTCCAGCAGAACCAGGAGTCCCCTTATCATTGACAAAGAAAAGAGTTGTCAGTTATCTCCAGCAGAGACTCAAAGTGGGAATTGAAGGGACAATTAGATCTCCATCTCTCGCATGGTTTCCCCAAAAAAGACCAATTAAAGTAACCAAAAGGATGCACTGGTCTCTTTTGATGGTCAAAAAGAGGAGTGTGAATGGCATGTGGTCTCTTCAGGCTGACTCTGCTGCATGCACAGAAGTACAACTGTGCTGATTTTGCATTAACTGATGTTTGGTGAGGAGGGAAGAATCTACCCAAGGAAATGATTTCTTTGAGAGCAGCTGCTGAGAGCTTGCTCTCTGTCTAATAACACCAATCAGTGACTCATTTTGAATATTGACACTTTGTTAAACCACTAGAAAGCTGAACAGGCCTCTGTGAACACACATGTTAAAAATGAATAAACCCTGTGAAGTCTCGAATTTGCAAACCAAATCCACTACAACTGAAAGAAATTGTAGTGCCAGAGCACTGGGCCCGCAGCTGCACAGATGTGGGACTGCAAATGTAAGAATATCAAGAGTTAAATGATTCATTAACTCTTCCCACTGCAGACTTCAACCCACAACCCATTGAAGAAGGGAATTTCTGGAGGGTGGTGACTGCTGGATGAGGCTGTCCTCTGAGAAGTGAACACAGCAGGAAGTAAGTGATGCTTCTTTTTTCTGAATGAAAATCTACAAAGCCAACAATAAAAAATTTCATCTAGTTAGGTACATTATATTCTTAGATGAATATATGGATTGACAGGTTTAGAGGGGAAAATAAATACTTTCCTATATTTTTATGCTGATTTTTGTTTTCAGCTGTCCAAACAGGGTGCACTATTCATATCATCTTTGGTCAAGGTCTGATTTTGCAACAGTATATGTGGATCAAGACAACCATGTGAAATTTACACAGAAGTAAAAAGCCACTAAGTTACAAAAACTGGGGTATTATATTGGCAGCTTCCTCCCTTATTCAAAACCTTTCCCTTAAAAACGGGTGGAGAAAAAACAGTTTATAAAATGTGATTGACAATTTAAAATCCGGCAGCTGATTTCTGAAAAATGTGTATCTGAAACTAGAAGTGACTATTTGCTACAATGTCTAGATCTTCAAGTAGGCAGTGATGAGTTATTAGTGTCTGAAAAGAAAATAAAATATTTGGGAAGAAAAGTGAGCAGAAAAATGCTCTATTAGACCAACACACTTCTGTACTGAAGTGAATTATTTCCTTCCAAAGTGATTACTTTGTCCTTGTTTCCCAATTAAGTAACCTAAGAACAGCAAAATTCAGGACAAGGCTTCCAGCGTTACTTCAGAGCCACAAGGGCTAAAACGTACTCTCAAAAGTAACAAAAACATCAGAATCTCACATACACCACTCAGGTTATAGGGTTTTAAGAAAAAAAGAGTGCAAATGTAAAGCTTCTAATGAAACAATTGGAACTTGAATGAGAGCCCTTCCACCTCCTTCTCTCAGACTCACAGTGGATTTGTTTGCTTTTTTTTTCTTTTGAAAGAACATGTTCTGGAAACTTCTAAGAAAATCCTTATGTGAACAAACAGTTCTGCTATTAAAACAAACCCAGATCTCCAAAAAAAAAAAACCCAAAAAAACCCCAAGAACAACAACAACAAAAAAAGGGCACAAAACCTCTCTAAACATGTCCTTCAAAACAACCCCAAAACCCAACCATAATACAACAGTTATAAAGCAGGGCAAATCTACCTATCTTTTCAAAGAAAACCCTCTCACACATAAGAAAGTGTATTTTAAAAAAACTTCTATTTGGCATTATTTTGTCATGCAGCATCCTGGATGTACATTTCATATGTCAGACCAGAAGAAGTAGATCAAAATCACAGCAGGACCAATAAATTGTCATATACTGTGTTCCTAAAGCTGTTAGGTTAAGTGGTGTTGTAAATTACTGCTCACTCGGGGGACTAAGATAAACTATATGAAGCACATGAAAGACTCTGCTCCCAAAGTAAAAGCTTGTTTCACTAGAATGTAATAAGCTAAAGTACATAAAAATTCCAGATCGTTTTCCAGGGCACTTTCTCAACCATTCTGCTTGAATGCCTCGTGAGTTGAGAGGTAGCTTGATGTTGTTAACTGAAGCTGATGAAAAGTACTCACAGGGAGCCCTGGTGATCCCACGGCACCAGACAGGCCTGGGTCGCCCTTTTCTCCGTGTCCTCCAGGGTATCCCATTTGTCCTTTCCTTCCTTGGGTACCTGGAGGTCCTTGCACACCACGGGGACCAGGAGGACCAGCACTACATGAGCAGAAGCCTTGACTTCCTACATGAAAGTGTCGAAATTACATTGAAACAGCTGAAAAAATATTGCACAAAAAATAATGCTGTCATTTTTCTTTTCTGTGTGAGTAGTGCACCACATTTAGACCATTTTATCTCATGTTACCTCACCTGGAGAGGATTATCAGTCTCCCTTTACAGTGCTGAGTAACTCTGCACTAACAGAACTCTGCTGACTCAGAAACCCCAATGCCAACAGGCCATGTAACTGTGCTTTGATGGCCCTCAACCTCCAAGTTACCATGAATTTCTTGCACATTTAGATTTGACACTCCTGGCAAAGGTTTCATACTCAAATTGGTTTTATCCAGGCCAACTTACCCTTCTCTCCTTTTGCCCCTTTTCTTCCTGGAAGGCCAATTTGACCTTTTGGTCCAGGTTCTCCAGGGATCCCTCTGTCAGTACAGATTACACCTTTGAAAAAACAAAATTTCCAGCCAGTATAAATCAGGTTTATGTTTCCACAGCTTAGGTCATGTGTTCTCCTCTCCCTTCTCTTATTATTTTTACATGAAAAGTTAGAGATCTTATTAAATGCATTACAAGTTGTTTCTTATAGATTATACTGCAACAAACAGTATGGCTAGAGTTGATGTTGACACATTGCTTCTCATTGCCACTATTTTTTTCTACTTAGAACTTTTTCTTTTCTAAAGGATATAGATTTGGGCTTCCTCCTCAGTATTTGTAATTTGAACAGTTAAAAAATGGTGTATTAGACCAAAACACTTTGGTCTAATGACCTTTTTAATTTTAATATGTGTCTTACTTTTGTGGGTTTAAATCACCTAGAAAACTATGAAAATCTTGAAATCTCACTGATCAAAATCTAATAGGAAAAATATGGTTTCAAAATCCCATGTAAACTTTGAAATAGTTGTCAAAATGCACTTTTCACTTCTCTGTATTTGTAGCACCAACAAAAACAATGGATCTATTATTCTGCAGAGTTCTATTCTTGTTAAATAAATTGCTATTGAACCTACTGGGTAGTCCAGGTAAGCCTTGTCTTCCTGGCTGCCCTGGCAGGCCTGGTGGTCCAGGAAATCCTGGTCTTCCTGGAATTAATTCACCTGTTCCAGGCAAACCAGGGTCCCCTTGAAAACCTTGAGGTCCTGGTGCCCCACTTACTCCTGGCAGGCCAGGAAGACCTGAAAAAAAAGAAAGGTAAACAGCCCATTCAGCATTAATGTGAGATATCAAGGAGGAAACTCCAGACCGTTCAGGACTGCCCTGAAAAACATCTTCTATATAACTAATGCTTGAATCCAAATTCTTAGGTTTTTCCAGGATCCACAGGATAAAAAGGTTCCTGCTGTAGACCTTCAAATGTTTATTTTCCTCTTCTCTCCGTTATCTCTTTTCCAGACATCCCAGTTACTCCAGCTCCTCATACAGAGCAAAGCCCTCCCCAGCACATCCCTCTGTATCTTTTTGAGATGGAGAGCAGAAATTTTAAGCACAGAACTCCAGACACAGTTATACCATGGGTTCACCATGGTAATATTCTCCTTTGTCTTCTGTTCCTTTTCTAGCCATTCCTAATGTTCTGCTTGGATCATTTTGTTTCTTTTTCTGGCTATTAAGTGCTGAGTTAATATTTTTATTGCACAGTCTTTACTGTTGGTGACTTGCATCAAGCAAGAACAAAGGACAGTTTTCTTTCAGCTGCTTTCTTTCCTTCTAGTGTATAGTTAACATTTATCCTCTACTTTTCTTACTTGTTCCATCATATCCTGGTCTTCCTAGAAGGCCTGAAGGACCAATTGGTCCAACTGACCCCATTTCACCAACAGGACCTGGAAATCCAGGATCTCCTCGTGGACCTACAGAGAATTACAGAAACATGTGAGTTGAACATTTTATGGAATTGACAGCTTAAATCTAGACTAAGCTGCCACCAAAATTATAATTTGGAAGCTACACAAGAGTAAAATAACTTATGAAACATTTTAAAATGTGTAACAATTTAATTTTAAGGTGGGAGGATTTGGTTACTTTTCTATGGATTCCAGCCCATTTCACAAGCACATTTTTAACTCTTCATCACTTTGTAGAAGTATCTTTGTGCAAATATTACAAAATGCAGAGAAACATGTTTGCCCAAGATAAACACATGTGGCATTTAAAATAAATATGGATTTCATGTTATGTGTTTTAGTACACACAGGGAGGTCATTTCATGATCGCCTTAGTTGAAATTAGTCAGATTTTTAAAAGTATATTTTCAAAATTGCTACAAATAACAAAATTTAAAATTTCAATTACATACTGATAAAGAAAACCTGAATCAGATTCAAAGTTTCATTAAATTGGAAAAATAAAATATTGGCAGTAGTTCTGTTCTGTTGTTCTAAAGCCCTCTTTCTCTGAAGATTCAGAGAAATCAGATTTCTCTGATGTATCCACACACTATGCACATGGCTGAATGTTACTCAAGATATTAAGCATGGGGTTGTTTGTTGTATGGGCTGGAAACCATGGAAGTCTGCGGTAAAAATTTAATTTATTTCAGGATGAGGCCCCTATCTAATGGGGAGGTTCTGCTGAACTGGGGTTTTGTTGTAACTTACTTCTGTGATCTCAGGAAATTTCTAGTACTGCACTAGAAATACAAATTATAATGAGCTGTCTGTTGAAATGTTCTCATAAGATAAACTCTCCAAGTATTAGATGCAAAAGCACAACCTTGCAGGCAGCAGGCCTGGCTGTTCCCCACTGCTTCCTGCTATGAAATAAGAACTTCCACACATCTTTTCATCAATTAGTTGAGTAAGATGGGGATAAAGGGAGCTGGGACATTAAAACCCAGCCTGAGGTTTAGGGAGGAAGGTAATAAATTGTCAAGTATTCTGTTGGGGGTACTAGTCCCAGGATTTTTCCCTTGCAAACAGGAAGCTTGATTGTAGTCTGAAATCTGTGTGTTGTGTCAATACTGAAAACAGGAATCCTAAATGATAAGGGGAAGGCAGGTGTTCTTATTTGCTGTCCATTAACCAGCAGAGGCCTATTCTTCATCAATTTTTTGTAGCTATGCTTAGGTCCAAGAACAAGAGAGTCCTTCAGATCTAGTTGTGAATGTAAGCACAAAGATCTTTCACACAAACAAACATTTAATGTGACACTTGTATGTTTAACATAGTTCCAGGAAGATCAGTAAGACAAACACAAAAATGTGGCCAAACCCAAAAACACAGCCTGTGGCCACTGGGATTCTGTCCCCTGCACCCTTAGTGACCACTTTCACACACCTTAGCAAAACAGGCCCTGAACTTTATACAGCACAAAGACTAGTGAAAAATAGATATAACCTTTTATAGGAAGCAGTGGAGTTCCAACAGCTCCAGGAGGACCTGGGGGCCCTTTTTCTCCTGGATCCCCCTGTAAGAGTCCAACAATATTTTTTTGTTAATATAGAAATATATGGTGTACTAGAATGTTACTAAATATTTCAACAGTGGGAAGATATGTAAGAATGTGACACACACTGCCTAGGAAACTTGATTTTGACACTTTGCAGCACTTAAAACCAAGCAAAAAGATTTAAAATAATCATTATCTTTCAGAATACCAGTGTCTGAGCAGTAATATATCCATTACACATATCTATTTGGCTCTTCAGAACGTGTGACTGCTGTATTTGATTTCATTCATTTATTGTAAATATGACTCAACTACAGTAAATCAGTATCCATTTAATTGAGATATTTTGATTTAACAACTTATCTGTAATTAAAATTTACAAAAATTCTATATCAGGATTAGGAAATTACTTCTATGACAGATAAGCATAAAGAAAAACAGTTTCACTGTCTAGCAGCTATTATCAATGATAAGAGATACTCAAAGCTCTTACAAGAAGTTTAAAATATCTGCAGTAGGGAAACATGAAAGTACTTGCTAATGGTGAGGAAAATCACTTCTGCTTGGAGGTTTTCTAAATTAACTTGGATTTTGCTACTTAGAGTTGCAAGTGAAGTGGACTTTAGGGAAGCCTTTTATGTGGCAAATTGTATTAGACCTTTTGCTTTGTAGATTAGAAATCATCTCTCCTTTTTCAGCAAATGGGAACTAAGAAAACAAGAATGTCAATGTGGGAACTGCACGTGAGGCTGCATTCCCAGACTGGACTCCAGGGCCTTTTAGGACACAGACAAGGAGAACTGAATACCCATTCTTACACAAGTGAAAACAAGGCCTCTATGCCTTTTTCTTGGCTTTTTTTTTTGGGTTATTTTTTTTTAAGTGGTGTTTCTACAGTAGTTAGACAGTTCTGTCACTGACTGCTGCCCTCTTGATCTCTGGCCTGTTTCTTTTGACTGTATCTTGCAGAATGAAAACATATCCTTGTGTCATCTTTAGTTCTTTTAAACAGGAACATGGATTTGTCTTTCCTAATGACACAGAAGAGCCTTCTGTGTGGCAGGAAAGAAAAACTAGCATTTTTCCTCTTCTGATAAATTTAGAAAGAATTCTGAGCTTTAAAACTAATTTAATGATGATAAATAAAGATTTGTATAATAGATGTATTTGGCCCAAGTCTTATATAATTTTCATGCTGATTTTAAAATGACACAATCAGAACACAATAAAGAACTGAAGAATAATGAGCCAATGCCAAACATGTCTGTCCTTGGTATCTTAAGTAATAAATTCAATTTGTGGTCTCTGAAAATCTTGTTTTAGGCTGTTAGGGCTAATGACCCTCTCTGGCTGGCAGCTGCCTATTGGCTGTGTTTTCACTGTTGGTACACTCCTACACAATGCCATAGATCTCTTGAGATCATTTTGTTGACTGATACTGCTTTCTTTTCCCATAAAAACTTCAGGAGACTCTTCTTGCCTACAGTTTATTTAAAAAAAAAAAATGTGTTGCCAGCATCTAGGCTTGGGCATCAAAAGCTATGGCAACAATTCCTTGAAGTCCACTCTTTGTTTTTAGCAACAGTCAGCATTTTTTAAAGATGAAATGTACTTTCAATGCAACTGGTTGTTTTTTTTTTTTTTTCTGAGTCTCTACACGTTAAATCTGAATGCATCTTGGATTTTCTATGAACATGTTTCTTTCAGAAAATCTACACAAGGACAGGCTATTCCCAGGATAAGTTTTAATCATATTCTTGTTCCTTTGGTGCATGTGATTTTTAGTGGATCATAAGCAACAGCTGGTGAAGGCAGCTGAGAGTTGATGCAGTCTGGATAATTCTGCCCCTTTCAGGAATAATCAGATTTCTCCAATGGTTTCCCAATCAAAACTACAGCATCTGTGTTATCACTCAAGATTCTGCATATCTGCATTAGTTATCCTTTTTTTTATTAAGTTGTGTCTATACTTGATTTGATTTCATTTGCTGTGGGCACTAGCAATTGCAATTTAATCTTTCTGGTTCATTACTGCAGGATTTCAGCCATTTCCCTAGCATAACCTACCAACAATTAATCATGCTTTTGTTTACTGTTTGTAGTGCTAACTGATGGCTACTCAGGCTGTAGGCTAATCAATGGAGTCTGAGGAATGCACTATTCTGTCTGTAACATGACTTGTCTCAAGTTTGTTAATGAGGCCCCAAATTAAAACAATATGTACATCAGGGTGAAAACTTTTTAACAACAAAACACTTAAGATTTGTTTCTAGATTTTGGGAGTATTGGATTGCAATGAATTTTCTGTTTAAATCTGATATGTAATGTTTCAATTTAATTAGTATCTAAGTGATATCACTGTGTTGTAAAGTTGATAACAGCCAAAGGGGATGAAAAGTAACATCTGTGGGCAATTTTTTTCCCTTAGGTATGACCACATGATTAAAATCTTGACTGAAGAAGCTGGTCTAGCATTCTCCTGACAATCCTAAATTAGAAAGTAAGTCTGTGACTAAGCCAGATGTTTTTATTGTACTTTCACTTATTTACTTTATGAGTTTGTTGTTACTTATTTGTAAACATGCTTTGAAAACCTGTCTGTTGCTTTATATATGTGTGCTTTCTAGTGTGTCTTTAGCTGTATATTACCTATGACAAGTTTGCACCAGCCACAGTTCACTTCTTTGTGTCACCACAGATTATGTAGAGTGTGTTCCAACCTTAATTTTTAGTTTATAACAGAGGTGATTTTTGTGCAAATCTCTTGAAGAAAATTCAGTGGCTTATATGCAGTTTTAAAAAAAAAAATATTTCAGAGGGAGATAAACACTCCTTGACTTTTGTATTCCAGAATATTTAAGCCAAGTTCATTAACATCACAATTTCTGCAATAATATTTTTGTCCTCTGTACTGTGACAATAACTTTTAAGAGCTTTTTCAACCTTGGTGTCTCTACTGATGATTCAGTCACTCACCTTCTGCATTGCAGCATTTCAGTCCTCCTTTTATTCATACACTGCTGACGATTTGGACCCTATCCCAGGACTCCTTAGGCTACCCTCCTGGCTAAACTCACTGCTGTTTTGCTCCCTCTAGGGTAACATCCAGAACTGCTTTTTTCTTTTGAGTGTGCCTTAGCATTGTAGATTCCAAAGGAAATATCCATTCACACAAGTCTTTCCTGTTACCCAGAATTACAATATGATCCAGTAGTCAGAATTTCATTGGTTCTGCAGCCTGCAGAAGAAAATTCCATAAACTTTTGTCCTGAAGTGTCACTAGACTGACACCTGGGTCTTCTGAAATTGTTTTAAGCATCTCTTCCACACTTTAAATATTTTTTTTTGTTTTACTGCTTAGCCCTGGCTGTGACACCTACATTTGTAATCACTAGTGGAAGGCAGCAAGTATTGTAAAACAAAAGGCAGTTAGTGTCATCTAAATGAGCCAAAGTAGGAAATGTTTAAACACAGCTGGTGTGAAGGAGTCCACTTCCTTGCAATTCTGGAAAAATTACTTACGTAAACAGATTGAACACATGCCAAGAGATTTTGGTAAATCATGCAAACAAACAGGCCCATCTGAATGGAATTTTGCCACCTCATTTGGGGCCAGTTTTCATCCTCACCTACAGGATCATACTATTAACTAAATAGCAGCTTCCTTTACCTCCCATACCTCCCTGGGGAATGCAGCTCAGCTGTGAAAACCTTGCAGAGTACTACAATTCATGGATTAGGCAGCTATCCTGGTATACTTACAGGTAACTGTTGGGATTAACAATTCCTCTGGTATGTAAAATAGAATTCCCACTCTTACCTGCACCAGCTAGGAATGTCTTCTTAGACTGCTATTTATTACCATGGTGATGATAACTATAACTATCAGGAAAACAGTAAGCCTTTACAGAAATTATGACTGTATAAAGGGAAATGGCCTGATAAGTGGGTACATTTGGGGGAAAATACTGGCACAGAGGAGAGTGGGGTGTGAATGTGTGGAAATTTTTTTACCTGTATGCCTGGATAGCCAGGTTGTCCAGGAAATCCAGCAAATCCTGTTTCACCCTGGAAAGGATCACATAAATACAAATTGATTAATCTGTTAAGACATAATTAATTGAGCAAAACCCAGTCATACAGCACTGTCATGTTATAATTGTGTGCACTGAGACTTCATTGTTTGTACAGGAGGTGGTGTTTCACAGACTCTCCTGTGTTGGAAAATTCACGGCATGTATTGCCAGGTTATTCAGACAGTGCTCAGCAGATTCAATGGAGTTGGGGCACAGAATTAGCTGGAATACATACCAGCAGACTCTGATAGACTGTCTGCTTGAAATTGGTTTGCTGCTTGCTGAATGATTCTCTTAAACTACTGCATGGAAAGCAACTGCACATCAGCTCTCTTCTCTTTTTATGATTTTCTAATGTACTCATCCAGCCTGTACTCAAACTCTTTAGGTAGGCAGGAGTGAAAAACAAAGTGAAAAATAATTTTGCAGATAAAACAGTCACCTGGAACATAGCTTGAGAGGCAAATATTGATACATTAATGTGATTTATGAACAGCATGATCACTACCTTAACTAGAGTTGGGCAAGATATAGACCTATATACGTACATCTATTGTTCTTTATTCCAGTAAGATGCTGTAAATTCATAAGTAAAATTTAGCATCACTGAAATTTCTCAAGCCAGAAACACGAACAAAACATGCATGCACCACAAAATTACACAATGTCACCATAAAAAAATAAAAGTTAACACGCTGCATAGCTTTTCTATTATGCTGTATGTGCGTCCCACTGACTTTTCCTCCTCCTTCCAACTTCAGATTCCATTAGCAAATTTCAGAATGGGAGAAATTCAAAGACACAGATTTCATAAAGCTTCTGTGGCAACAGGTAGCAGAAGAGAAAAGAAAGTATGCAATCTGAGCTGTGAATTATGTGGAAATTCCAAATCTGCACACGTCCACAGAAAACAAAATATCATTGATCCTGCTGTTCAGGGAGCTGTTTATATTTTCTGCCTTCATACCTTCATTCCAGGAAACCCTGCAGGTCCATAAGAACCAGGATGACCCTAATAAAAGCAAGTAGACTGTAAGCTAAAACAGTAAAAACTTATTTAAAATCAAGCCTATTCATAACTGCTGATAATTAATGTTACATAGATAAATATTACTTGAGGTATCTTCCAAAAACTTTGCAAAGCTTTTGTAAATAGTTTCTGTGAGAAATAGACAAGAATTAGAACTATAGACCAAAGCAAGCCAGTCAAGTTTTCACTTTTTTTTTTTTTTAACCATACTGCATCAAGCACAGTAGTGGAATGCTGCTCCACTTCAGCACTGTTAGGCAAATCCAGCACAAGTAAAGTTGCTGTAAAAAACTGCCATCAACACATACAGAGAACATTAAAATTACTGTGTTAGTACTGTGCTATTCCAGAGCAGCTTTGTGCTAAATATTTAGAGGATAACCATACAGATTTACTTTCTTTCCAAGAAAAGTCTGTATGAGATTATGTTTAAGTCTGAGAACAGGGTAAGTACCAGGGCAAGTCTCCTATACAGGAAGCATGACAGATTAGTTTAAAAAATCCTTTAAGTTTTTATTGAAATGGCAAACTTAAACTGCCTAATTATAGTGAATTTGTGATATAATTTATTGTGCAACTTTCTTACCCGCAATCCAGGGAATCCAGGAAGGCCTTTTTCACCCTTTTCTCCTCTCCCAAGTATGCCCTAGAGCAGTCAAAATAGTTTTTTTAACCAAGATGCTCAGTGAAGTGTGCTTACATTTTAGTTTTTATGCATCTTTATTAAATGATGTATACATTACGTTGATGGATCTTGTTTCACTTGTGAGGCTCAGTCACTGGGGCTGACTTCACACAGCATCACCTGCAGTGCCTAAGTAGCTCCAGTTATTTGAGAAACCTGCTCTGGTCTCTTCTCTAAGCTTCATATGGATTTCAGCAGTTGAATTTGTATATACTTTTTCTTAAGTTTTGGGCATCATTTAAGTTGCTTCAGTTGCTTTCTCTGTTCCTGCTTATCACTAACTAAGTGCATGTATTGTCATCTACATAGACAGCTAGTACTGGAGCATGCATATAAAGCCCATCTTTTTCAGTGTAAATCTGATAGAAAAAGATTAGCTTTGTTCTCTTTTCCAGTGCCAAGTAACAGTGGGCTTTTTATAATGGAAAATGAACTTCTGAAAAAGAGCCAGACTTACAACTAAGAAATGTGATGTTTGTGCTTCTAATTTCTTCTCTTCTGCTACATAGCTAAATAAGTTTTAAACATAAACTAGAGTAATTCTTTTGTCTTCGATTTCGTCCTTTTTTCTGAGATTTGGCAGCTTCCTGCTATGGATTTTCCTCTTCTAGCACCTCAATGGTTAAATTGATCATGTTGACAGAAAGAAAAGAAAATGTAGACTAGAAAGAAAAAAGCAACCCCTCTCTCCAAACAGGTGACTCTACCTTCTCTACCCTTGGGGATATCCACAATGTCAAGTTAAAGTCTTTCCTCAACCTTCTATGGTAAATATACATCATGCCTCATTAAGAACACATTCAGATTGTCTCCTTTCTCTTCTTGAGGAAAAATAATCTGTACTTGTATTTTCTTCACAGTTCCAATCCATTATGCCAACAGCCCAACTGGCAACAACACTGACTTTTTGCTACTAGGCAACACTCAATAGGTATGTGTAAAACAGACTCAGAAAAATTTTCCAAAGAGTTTTGAAATATTTTTGCTTTCACACTGATTTAGGTGGTGATTAAATTTCACAGCAAAAAATGCTGTGCTTTAGAAGCTTAACACAATAACAACACAAGGACTTTGTCAGCACCGTGGGGAAAAAAAGTCCCATTACTTACTTTAGGTCCACGTGGCCCTCTGTATCCTGTTACCCCAGGTAATCCTTTTTGGCCCTACATATAAAAGGAAAGTTTTTGTGTATATTAATATGCAGGATATGCCTATGTGCTGCTTAACTTTTTTAAAATCCTACTCTGAATTAGAAGTGTTAAAAAGTATTTTTTTTAAGCACTGGATGTGTTTCTTTAGGTGTCCTCGACACAAGAAAAGCAAGAAAAACATTTATGTACTTATTTTTATTTCTGTTAACACTGTCAAAACAGCATAATGACTCTGGAGAGAGATATATGTATCTTTTCACTTCCAAGGTTCTGCAAGTCAGGGCTTTGTTCCTACAAACATGTATGACAGTAGTTCCTTTTTTGATTTGCTGCTCTTCTTGGTTTGATGCAAGTACTCACAAGCATAAATCTACACTTTTGAGCACAGCTCCAGTCTGAATGGCTGCTTACATGGCCATGATTGTGTCGTGTTGTAGAGCAGCAAATGTCCCACTTCCCAGGAACGTGGGGAGTTTATGGAGGTTCTGTTGGTCCTTTCCCTCTCCTCATACACCTGTATAGCAGCTGTTTGCATGATCAAAGCCTGGGGTCCAACATGTGAAATCTACTGGTTCCCTGAGTTGAGGCTGCAAGGAGCTGGCAATGCCAGCTTCACTTTTTCATTTGTCTATTTGAGGAAATCTGACTTGAGGATGCAGAGAGCTCTGTAACAGTATGGGGCTCTGTAACACAGTTCTTGTTTAAAAAGAACATGGGTTACAGACATTCTAATGTTCCAAGCCACTTAGCTGTAGCTATTGTAGGTATGATCTTGAAGAAGTACAAGTTGTTCAGGAAAGTTGTGGATGCCCCATTCTTGGAAATGTTCAAGGCCAGTTTGGATGAGGCTTTGAGCAACCTGCTGTAGTGGAAGGTGTCCCTGCCCATGGCAGAAGGATTGGGACTAGCTGATCTTTAATGACTCTTCCAACCCAAATGATTCCATGATTCTCTGATAAAAGTTGCAATAAAAACTGGCAACAAAATCACACTTAATTTTTATATTAAAGAGAGCACCCTAGAAGACTTAGGGTTACTTCAAAACTATAGATTGGAGTACAGTTGCCAGTGATATGCAAAATCTATATTGTATTAAATAAGTAAAGTATTAGTGAAGAGCCACAAAGAGATTCAATAGCACAGTAATCAAATTTACCAAGATGCCTCTAATACTATTTGCTAATGACAAAAACTGAAGAAAACCAAAGCAAGGGCAGTATCTCCTTTCTGCATCAAGACAGTCTTCCCTCCAGAGCATGAGCTAAAGTACGCGTGAGGCGTCCTGTCCTCTCCTGAAAGCTTGTAGGAAGGGTGCTGAACACAGGATTCTGCTGCAGCTGGTGGTTTCTTACAGAAAATAAGTATGTCTTATGCCATCCTTGCAAAAATTACATCACAGGATTGTACTTGCCAAGTTGAGCACTGTTAAATATGATGACAAATTAACACCTTTTGTCCTTTGAACAGCTGAGCTCCAGGAGGTCCAACTAACAGCGGTGACCCAGGCGGCCCAGGCAGCCCGATGTCGCCCTGTGGAAGCCAAAGCAACAGCAGAGATTTCAGTGACACGCAGCTTGTTTTCCTGTTGTACCATAGCACTACCTATTTCTGTACTCATTGAAAATGTACTCATGACCTGCAGATAAAGGTTTGCACTGAGACCTGTAAGCCTCTTTACCATCTGCCCAGATGAGTAAGGTTGTCAATCTAATCTCCTGAGTCATTAAAAGTGATGTTACTGCTAAGGAAATAAATGAGAACGCCTGGCTCCTGCTCCAAATCTGCTGTGAAGATAGTAGTTACAGGACTGTCAAATCTCTTATGTGTACATACAGTCTCTCATGTTCTAAACCAAAGCCTTTGAGCACATGACTTTGTGAATGTGAAATGAAATTATTGATTTGCTGTGGAAAGTTGTGTATGTTAGACACTTGCACAAATTCTAAGAACTCATTGGACCAATTCATAGAAGAAATATCAAATATTCTACATTGGTTCTATATATCCTGAGTATGCTAATATAGGTGGAGACTGGGAAAGAAGTACTATTATGTGCTTCTTATACCCTTTCCTTGACATCTGTTCTGCACTTAGCAAGAGATGAGATTCAGGGACTGATCTGGTCCAGCCCCTGTCACTAAGTAATCACAAATACTGTTGTGATTACCTAGGCAGTGTCAGTTCAGAATGTATGGAAATGCTAAGTAGCACTGATTGTTGCTTTTCAAAATCTTCTGAATGTGCTTGATCCCTGATTGCAGCTCACTGAAGGAATTCCTTCTGCTCAGAGTTAATTGATTCAATAACTTCTTCTGTTCTAACATGATTAGCAGGTCACAAAGCCACAATTGAATGGGTTCCAGGGAACTCATTAAGACTATTATTCTTCTAACTCTACAGCAATAATAAATTTAATATTATTTGTTTTCTTACCGGCTCTCCCTTTTGTCCATCCACTCCAATCCCTGGATTTCCCTAATTGATAAAGAATGTACACAGTTTCAGTATGATCAGAAAATATTAACATTAGAGTTTAATCAAGTAACTCTTTTAAAAAACTTGATAACAAATAAAAGGAACATTTCAAATACTTGTATAAATTATTATTTCATTAACAGCTTCAGAAGTTATTACTTACCTGTTCACCTGGCAAACCAGGGTAACCTGGAATACCCTTGAAAAAAGAATGAAGACAAGTCAATATGTCTGATTTAGAGACAGGTTTTGAAAATTATTTCCTCTTGCTTATAGGACCTGGAGGCAGACTTTTGTCTTGGGGTGTACCTATTCCAAAATGCAATTTACTTCATTTGGTGACTGCTTTCAGGAGGGCTGACCTCTGGTTTCCCCCTTTCCTGTCTCCCACAGGTGGTCTTGGGAAAAGGGGTTAAGGAGAGAGCACTAGGAGCATTTCTCCGTGACCACAGACTGCCAGGATGAAACATGTTTATGGGAAGGAAGAACATATTCCTCAACTCCCAAACTCATAAGGTAAAACAAAAATCTGTCTTATTACCTTCCTCAAAAATTACTTTTAGGCTTTGATTCACATTAAGGCAAGTTCTAAAATGAGTAGACAAGAATGAATGCATAGCCTAAGGCAAGGCTGTATAACTGTGGGGATCTTACAGGCAAGCCTGGATGGCCTGGGTATCCAGATGGGCCTGTTGTACCTCTTGACCCCCTAGGTCCCTGGAAAAGATTGAAAAATGTCTTTTGTGAACACAGAAATAACTTACCCTTTTTTACACAAACCCAGCCCCTCTAAAACACCTTGGACTCAGCCTACTGGCCACCGGATTCCACCCACAGCCCAAAGCTTACGCCATGCCTGAAATCTCCCTGTGACTAGAGCAGCCAGCACCAGCTTCTAGGTAATACTGGACAAGGCACAGTTCTATGTTATTAATGCACAGAGAGTTCACTTTGCCAGCAATTGTACTACGGTGCAGCGACTTGATACAATTCATCAGTGAATACTTTTTAAAAGGGTTTAACAAGAGGAACCCAAAGCCATCAAGAATGTGACTCAGCAACAAAATTAAACTCTCTCTTCTTCTTTCATGTTCTTATGACTGGAATATGATAGAGTGCTACTTATTCTTGGGAGACGCATCAGATACTGTAGAAGAAGAATTCACAACTTGAATTTCACAGAGAGAATATTCTGTGAATATCCACACACAGCTAATGCAGGTGTGGATGGTCTGTTTCTACGCCCTTTCAGCCAACATGAACTGGCCATGGGAACAAACTATACAGACTTGATGCTTCTCAGACTTTATTCTGGAATTCTGCTATTTAAGGCAGGCAGAGAGAAACCCCAATATTTCTTACCATACTAAGGAGAAAAAAATTGAAGATCTTCAAGACAAAAAGCAGTTATAGAACCCACTGACTGTACTTACAGGCATGCCAGGGGGTCCAGGATCACCTCTCTCTCCCTGTAATGACAATCATTTAGCAAATGAAGCAGTAACCAGTTCAAGCTTTCTTGTGGATATTTTCTAACTTTACAGATATTAAGATCATAAACTAGCTGTTTGAGTATGAGTTGTATATGTGTTTTTAATTTTTTTTTTTCACTAAGTTTTATAACTAGTGAGGAGTAATGGAACAATTACATTTACCATACATGTTTTCCTACAGATAAATGTTTTTTTTCACAATCAGATACTTACTGGAAGTCCTTTTCCAAAATGCAAAATATACACTGAATTTCCTTTTTCTCCTTTTTGCCCTGGAATTCCCTTTAAAGAAAAAGAGTATTTTAAAACATGATCCACTTACTGATATCCTACATTTTCATGGAGAATGTATGATAACTTCTCAGGCTGTAACTTTCTTGTGCCCCTGTATCACAAGGTAATCCACTAGGATCATGAATAATCATTTTATCTAACAAAACCTGCTGTACACTTGAGCAAATGAGGTTCCCACAGTTTCTGGACTCCTGCTCTGTTAAGGTGCTCCTTAGCACTTGGGTCCTTCAGTATTCTACGATCTTCACAAATCTTGTCCTTAGCACCAGTATGCCTTCTGTTTCTTTCAGGGAGGCAGAGGCTTTAAGTACTAGCACTCTGCCTTCCATGATAGTTGATTTTGTGATTCAGAAGAATTTAAAGTGATACTGCATACAGATAAAAAAAAATAAAAGTATGGACTGTATTAGATGCATAGTATTCAATATTTCCATCTATTAGGAAACCTGTTTCTGTTTGTAAGAGAAATCTGATACCTAAGAGCCCTGGATTTTAAGAATTAAGTTCCCATGGTACTTGCTGTGGGTCCTTTATAAAACCTTGCTAATTGTAGCACCCTTAAAAACTCAATCTGAATTAGCATGAACAGATTATATATTTTGCAAAATTTAACTGCAATGCTCAATCTACTGTTAAGAGCATGATATGCACATATCTGAAGAACAGATATATAAAGATGTTATTTCTGAAGTTTTTCCATTTGAAATCCAAATACAGTGGATAAAATTTAACTAAGTTAACGATCTGACTACTGAGTTCAATAAAATGGGACACTGTCAACCCCTTTAAAACTGTACTGGTACAGTGTTCACGATATCATAAACTGGCTGTCCAAATCCTGCAGTCAGAATGAAACAGGGAAGGTATTTCTCCCTGGAATGGTACAATAAAAGGAAGAGTTACAGCTGTCTGCAGCTGGATATAGCTACAGTAGATTGGATACAGATTACAGGTAAACAACAGCTGCTAGGGAACACATTAAACAAATCAAAAGTTGTTTTTATCTTTAGTTATTTTACATGTGGTCTCTTGTATACAAAAACATTTTTGTTAGATTCAGTTTCTTATCTTCTACATGACTTAGGTAAGGCTTAAGAAGTTATTTTATTTTCCAGCAAGGTCAATGAAATAAAGTCTATGCATATGTACACGGTGTTAAATAAAATTATATAGGACAATGTTATAAATTAGACAAAGAATTAGAATTCTAAGAATTAGACAAAAATATTGGCTGTAACGTACAGGCAAGTTAGTACCTGGTGCAACAAATCAATTTAAAAATAGGCACTCTGCATAGAGAGGTTGGAAGAGCATTCTTGCACACAAGCAAATATGGTTACTATGTGTTGTTTTTCTGGGTAGCTAAATGAATTTGCACTGGAATTTTAGGATGCAATCCAAGGCTACATGCCTATTGTGTCTCCCTATTCTTGTAGGTTGCAAATACTTTTTGCAGACCTGCCAAAGACCATGCTTCTGAAACTGGTAGAATTTACGCTGTCCCATGTTCCATTTTTTCTTTATCTCACTTGTCTAATTACGAAAAGTAAAACTCTATTTTGAAGGCCATAGTAAGAAAGAAAATACAGGTGAAATTAGAGTTTCAGCAGATGTAACAAGTTACTTTGGGACATATAACAAATGAGGTTATTAATAAGTTTATAATGTGTCTTTCATAGCATGAACCTGTATTTTATTCTAATTGTTATTATCTTTGACAGTATCATTACACTCTTGCACCCACTCCACATTTTTCTAATGTCTGAATTCAGCATTTTATTTAGCATTTTATTTAGCGCTCACAAAACACATTTGGTTTTTCATGTAAAGTGCAGTTGTTTTTATTGTGTTACTTAAAAATTTTCAGGGAAGCTCCTAGACCAATTAATCAGCTCTTATTCAGAACTAAAACTTGTTTCCACAAAAAAATCAAAGACTGGTGACTAGAACAGTTCAGCAAAATTTCTTTGGAGCTACGGTAACTTATTTCCCTTAATGACAAGAATCTTTTTATCTTCAGTAGTCATACTGCTAACACAGCTACTTTAATAATTTTAAAGTACCTTCCATTGTACCAGAAAAAGTCATCTCATGTATGTCCCTACTAGTAATGCTTTTAAGAAATTTCAAGTACTAATGAATAGTATGGTGGTTTCAAGCTACTCCTTCTCAGCTGGAGTGGCAATTCTGGGGAAACAAAACAGAATTTAACTCTCAAGGCAGACATACATCTTCAAGGATATAGAAGCTTATTTCACTTTCAAGCTTAATCTGTTAAGGCAGTATGTTTCACTCCTATTAACCTGTGTAAGAATTCCTGGGAATTCCCTGTGCAGCACTGTGAAGCTGATGCCCCAGTCTAGGAGTCATTTTAAGAGCTGTTAGCTTGGAGGGGAAATGCACATGCACAGCGGGAATGCATTTCACGTACATAAGGACCTCTTGGTCCCATATAACCATTTTCTCCTGGGAATCCTGGGTCTCCCCTGGAGCCATTGCAGCCATCCAAACCAGGCTTGCCTCTGGCTCCTTCCCTTCCTGGGAGGCCCTGAAAGACAGTTTAATATTTATGAGAAATACACCATGATTAATGAGAAATTACTTCTTAAATTAACAGAACAGTTCAGAAACAAATATATCTCAGATGTGAATGATATAGCTTCTTATGGTGGTTCTGGTTTCATATTCTTTTGCATTAGAAATATCTTCTATTCTGAATAGATTTTTTTTGTGGTATAGAAAAAAATGAGGTCTTTTGTTTATTTGGGGTTTTTTGATGCATAGCAAATATAACAGGGTTATATTAACACTGGTTAAGAGGACCAGACTATGTTCTCACTTGAGTGAAAAAGTAATGTTCCATCTTCTTAGAGAATACAGACTCTAGTATATAGGCTTTCCTGTGGCTGCTGTCCTGGTTTAACAAAGCCTGGTTTTCAGCTGGGGGCAGTCCATGGGCTGCAGGGGTGGTTCCCTGGGAGGCCCTGGCAGAATCAGCTGGCTAGTTTTGAAGATTGACACCCAGTTAAACCACTTAAAAGAATTGACCTCTGTGGAAAAACACATTTAAAAACGAGCAAGCCCAGGGAAACTCGAAAACTCTCTTGGCTTCCAGCCTTAGAACAGGTAAGTGGGTGGGCCAGCCTGCACAGGCTCAGCCTGCGGCGTGGCACGGCGTGGCTGAGATTTCTGCCAAGGTGCCCCAGTTAGTGGACATGGCCCATGAGAGCAGCTGTGGGAAAGCTGCAAGGCATGGGAAGGACTTTGACACTGCGGACAGATTTTTCCTTTCCCGGGCAGCTGATTCACTGTGACACTGAAGCCACAAGAGAACTGTTTCTTGTGGAGAAGTCTCCATGGCATGGCAGAGAGACTCCCTCCCTAAGAGAACTGAAGAAAGGCTGGCTGAAAGTCTCAGGTTTTGTCTCTTTACATTGTCAGTGGGAAAGAAAAGAGGATGTGTGGGGAGGAGAAGTGTTTTGAAGGTTTTATTCTGGTTTTCTTATTTTTCTTTTAATTCTTTTAATAAAATTTTCTTTATAACCTTAAAAGTTTTGAGCCCATGTTGCCCTCCTCTCAATCCATATCTCACAGCAGAAAATGAGTAGATAATTCTAGTGGGTGCACTGGCAATTTGGCCAGCACTAGATCCACTACAGCTACAAAGCTGAAAAAACCTACCAAAAAAAAAAGTAATTTCAAGCAGCCTCATATTTTTAAATTGTTAGGATAAAACAAGTGAAAAAGAGGACACAGCTTGACTCAGGAACACAATAATTGTAGAGATTGTGGTTTTTCTAACCTAGCAATAGCTAACCAGTGTCCAGATAAGGATTAATTCTAAAAATTAGGAATTGGGCAATGAAACAATGGAATTTTTCTTGGAATTATCTTTCTGTTGGAGAAAAAACCTATTTTTCACATAATTAAATATTTTTATAAGGACAAAATACTAATTATGACCTAAAATTATTTTTGGGGGGAAGTCTGAAAAATTGTCAAGAAAGTATCCTCCTGGACATTTCCCTGAAACACTTCTGTCAATTCTACCTTCTTGTTTTCTGGAAATGCTTCAGTCTAATTTGTGGACACTGATTTTAAATTAACATTTTTTGCAAAAAGAATATACATTTCTTGGGAACGCTTCCTTTTTTCTGTGCCACATTTTGGGCTTGTGACCTCTATATTGTGCAGACATTTTGGCAACAGTCCCACTGTCAAATGTGGACAGCTGACAAACAGATGCTACAACACCTACTCAGCTTTTGGTTCTATTTTCACTTTCAAAATTCAACATTTTAACTTTGTTTGATCCATATGAAACTGGTAGCATCACAGGAATTCATTTCTAGCAGAGTGCTAGAACTGCACTATCTAAGCAGTGCATTATCTAAGATACCATTTCACCAATTTTCACACTGAAGAAGACATTCATGAAAATACATTATCACATGCTTATAAAGACATATTTAGGACCCACTTTGCTTATTCAGTCCGTATTCAGGTTAAAATTACTGCACTCAGTGGTTGGGTTTCTTCCTGCAAAAGGACTACAAGCAAAAATCAGAATGTTTGAACAAAAAC